CCAAAGTTCGTCTCTCATACTTCAGACATATTGTCAGGAGGGACCAGTCACTGGAGAAGGATATCATGTTTGGTAAGGTGGAGGGTCAGAGAAGAAGAAGACCCCCAATGAGATGGATTGGCCAAGTGGCAGCATCAATGGGCTCAACTGTGGCAACAATGGTGAGAATGCTCCAGGATTGGGAAGTGTTTTGTTCTGTTGTGCATGAGGTCCCTATGAGTCAGCACCAACTCGATGATACCTAACAACACCATATTGATTGATGCAGAAAAGCAATTTGACAAAACCCAACATCCATTTCTTGATAAAAGCACTCAACAATATAAGTACAGAAGTCCCTCAACATATCTTAACAACGTATATACAAATCCAACAGCGACATTATCTTCAATGGAGATAAAATGAAAGCATTCCTTTTACGAAAAGGAATCAGACAAGAATGTCCTTTATCATCAGTTCTATTCAATATTGTATTTAAAGTCTCAGAGCTATAAGGCAAGAAAGGGAAATTAAAGGCACCCAAACTGGCAGAGAAAAAAATAAAACTCTATTTGTAGATGACATGGTCTTATACATAGAAAACCCCAAAGATTCAGCAAGAAAATCACTGGACCTCATTAGCAGTTTCAGTAAATTGACAGGGTACATGATCAATATATGAAAAATAGTTGGATTTCTCTACACTAATAAAGACAGGTATGAAAAGGAAATTAGAAAAACAATACTATTTACAATAGCCACCCAATTGTCAGCCAAGCAATAGATAGGTATACATAGGCCCCCCCACTATATATACCTATTTATTGTAGACAAAAATACTAGTAAGTTATGCTCTCCATGGAATGGCCAATCATTCAAAATCAAAAGGGCAACATTTACCTAAGGACAAAATTGAGGAGAGATGGGAAGGTAGGTGGAATGGAAATAAGGAACCCATTCAAGAAGTAGGATAACTGTTGTTGCATAGAAAGGATTGCAATCATTGATTTGAAAAAAGTGTATAATTTTTTTTTGATGTACAACTGATGATATTGCCTGCAAACCTTCAGTCCATTCACATAAAAACATTTTAAAAAAGTAATAAAAAGTGAAAAGTGTTTTCAACTGGGGCACTGTTCAGGTCAGTTGTAACACCGCTCACTGCACGTTTTGAACTTCAAGTCCCAGAAAGCAACACGCCACTACTTCCGCATACAGAGGACGGTAACCAATTGAAATGAAAGCGCTCTCGTGTCGCAAACACTAAAGTGCTCTATGGCTGACGGGAATGTGGGTTGCCGGAACGCAGCAGCCTCTCCTCGGGAGAAAGATGTAGCTGTCTGCGTGACAGGAATGGTAATTAATTGGCAGTATGCAGTAAAATGTACTTTGGTGTGGCTTAGTTTTTCGGGAACGTGTCTCAGATGAGCTTCCAACAAATGGCGGAGACAGACCTAAGAAAACGATTTTGTCACTTCCGTCCACAACAGAACAGGTTACTCCCAGGAAAAGGCATTTACGTGAAACCGAAGCGCCGGCTCAAGTTTCTCAGCATTCTCCTTTCCGATCATGCCTTACGTCATCGCCGCTGCCTTTTCTTATTGGCCGGTTGATGGGTTTTGGCGCATGCGCGTTGCTTTTCCTTGAGGGTTATGGGTAGGCGCCATTTTGATCCCGGTGCTGTTTCTGGGAAGTAGAGCGCCGTTCCTTGGCGACTGCTTTCGGCTCAATCGAAGCGATCTGCTTTTTCCGCTCCTCCAGTCTTGCTGTCAGCTCCCCGAAATTATCTGCTCGGGCGGAAAGCTCAGAGTGCCGTGCTGTGTCCTCGAAGAAGCCCATCGTGATAAATTGGTGACGGGGGCGGCGCGCGGACACTCCCCGCTGAGCGCCTGCCCACCATGGACTCAGAATATTACAGCGGCGACCAGTCAGGTAGGGCAGGGGCTTTGGGGTCATGGCTTTGGGGCGGAGCGAGTACTTGGCGCACCCTGCCCTCGTCCCGCCCTGGGGGTGAAAAGGAGGGAAGCCTCGGAGATCTTTCTGCCCTGCCCCAGCTCCAAGTGCACTGTGATGGATTGGGAATAGCCCGTTGGCTGGCTGGCTGGGGTCCCTAAATTGGAACTTGAGAGATTCTAGAGAGACGTCTTCTGGATCGTCTAAGGTTTTCCCGGAAATTAGAAACCCTTTCCATTAAGTGTTTGTGTGCAAAGTGCAAGAGAAGTAGCGGTCTCTCCGCTCTCATTGCTAGGTGTCCTGGAGTCGCTTCCGACTCAGAGCCACCCCATGTCTAACAGGGAAACACTGCCCTGTCTTGCATCCTTCTCATAGTCGTTCTCTCTGGGTTGGGGAGTTTTGAGGAATGAAGAATTTCTAAGATTCACAGGGGCTTTTCAGGTGGGGATCCCATCTAGACTTTTATGAAGTTGTTACTACTATTGTGTGCTGTCGAGTGCTAGTTTAATCTCTCTTACAAGTCCGGCTATCTGGTTTGCTTTTAAAGTATGACCCTTGTTTAAGTTGTATAATTTTTTAGGAGTGCACCCCGGCACTTATTGATTGTCTTATCTTAGTGCTTTTCCTGAACCTCGAGATCGTTCCTTGTTGACCTCACCGAAGTTGCCCCGTCCTCCTTTCCTGTTTCTTCAGTAAACCCTTCTGAGCTCCTTTCTGTTACGCACTGGCGCTACAAAGGTGGCTAAACCAGGGCCCACGAGGGCAGAGAAACGTTTTATGTGTCCAGCAGCCTTTAGACTTCCCCTGTAGAGGTGTATTTCCATTGTTGTTTGAAGTTCCATCGAGTTGATTCCGACTTGTAGCAGTCCTGTGTAGGGTTTCTGAAGAGTGGCTGGTGGGTTTGAACTGCCGTTCTTGTGGCTCAAGCTGACCCTGCTGTCTAGCCCTTTATCCTGCAGCAGTACACCAGGACTCTATTGTTGTGATGTGCCATCAAGTCGATTCTGACCCATACGACCCTGTATAGGGTTTCCGAGGAGCAGCTGGTGAGCTTGAACCACCGACCTTGCAGTTCAAGCAGCTTTGGTGTCTGACGCATTAACCCACAGCGTCACATAAGTACTCAGTTGTTAAGTGCGGTGGAGTCGGTTCTGACTCATAGCGACCCTGTATAGGGTTTCCGAGGTTCCAGGACTCCACCAAGCATTTCTGCAGTCATTACTGTTCACTGCCACTATATTGAATCAACATGAACTCGAGTTTAATTATTGAAGCATTTTTAATATAGAAAGCCAGGACTCCGTTGTTGTTGTTGTTGTTGTTGTTGTTGTTAAGTACCACGGAGTCAGTTCCCACTCATAGTGACCCTGTACAGGGCTTCCGAGGCTGTAAATCTTTACGGGAGTAGAAAGCCTCATCTTTCTCTCACAGAACCGTTGGTAGTTTCTAACTGCTGACCTTTCAGCTGGCAGCCCGACTCGTAACCACTATGCTACCAGAGCTCCTTTAGGCATTCTATATTAAAAATGCTTCAATAATTAAACTCGAGTTCATGTTGATTCAGTATTGTGGCAGTGAATAGTAATGACTGCAGAAATGCTTTTCCAAGCATGCACTCATGTTTTGTTTTAAGATATTTTCTGGTGCTTTCTGAATAGTTTTTACTTAAAAATATTTGGCACGTTTATGTATATTAACCACTAAAAGATATAGCAAAAAATAACAGGTCCCTGACTTTCCCTCTCCCTGACTTTCCATTCTTTTTCTATTTTTATATTAATTTTCATGTTCTTGATAGACACTGTCTCTTGCAGTATTATTTTTAGGCATTTTGTAATGATTTGCTATATGGATGGCATGGCAGTATTTTACATATGCTGTTTTCCATCCTCCTTTTATATATGGGTTTTCTGTAAATTTAAAAATTAAGTTTTTATTACAGTTACGTAAATATTCTTTTCTGTTTAGTTGAAACCATTCTTAAACAGAATTTTGGTTTTCCTGGAATTGATTGCTTTAATTTTTAAAAAATTTAATTTGGTTGAACCTTCGAGCCATGCTTTCCTGTATCTCCCAGTTGTGAATTCTCAGTAGAATTATTTTGCATTTTAAAAGTTTTAATTTGAGTTGCAATTTGTATTTACCAATTATTTTGTAATGTTGAGTATATGCATTACTGTAATGGCTTTACAGTATTTCTGCAACGACAATCCTTGGCTTTTCATTCAGAAATACTTTCTGAACATTGTGAAGGAGCCCTGGTGGCAAAGTGTGCTTACTGTTGAACTGCTAAGGTCAGTGATTCAGGCCCACAAGCCACTAACGTGTACAAATGCCTCAGAAACCCTTTGGAGTAGTTCTCTGCCCTATAGCATTGCTATGAGTTAGAATTGACTTGTATCAGGCAGTGTTCTAGGCTCTAGGGATTCAGCATTGAACCAAATTCTTTATTTTCATGGTGCCTTCATTCAAGTGGGGAAAGCTCCAAATTAAAATAGGAATTAGAAGGTGGTAAGTTTTACCACAAAGTTGAAATAGTTTGCTTTATTTGGATAAACAGCACATCATTGTAACTTGTAACTTGGTCTTTAGTTATGTTTCTTAAGCTTTTGCATTTCTTTTATGACCTGATTTTTTTGTCGTGTGTCATGGTACATGTTACTATTGTTGACTATTAGTATTGTACTGTTGTTCAGAACATTAGCATCTTTAGTTATGTCTTTTTTATGGTGTTATTTGCTCTTATATTTTTCTTGATTCAATGTGTTTATTTTAGTTATAGATGTCACCTAAGTAGGTTTTTTGCTCTATTTTTAAGCAGATGATGGTGGTGCTACCCCAGTACAGGATGAACGAGATTCAGGGTCAGACATTGAGGATGATATAAATGAACAGCATTCTGGATCAGACACTGGAAGTGTAGAACGTCATTCAGAGGTATCGTTTTATTTAACAGTATCTTTGAAGAACTTTTTCCCTTGTATTCTACCAGACATACTTTTTTTAGGAGTTGTAAAGACCCAATCACAGAATTTAGGCTTAAAACCCTAGGGACAAAAGTATATAAATTCATATAGAACTGCACTAAAAATAATTAGTCATGATTCAGTTACTTATAAAATCAGAGGGAAAGAAAGTTCTGATTGGCTCTCAAATATTAGGTAGTTTTCAACTGTATGCCACTTCAAAAAATAGGCCAGGTTTTTTATATTTGACTAAGCGTCCCCATTCCCAAAATGATGTCTTATTGAGGCAATAAGCATTTGGCAATCCTGAAGAAATACTAATTACAAATGAATTGAACTGGGGGGCAACTACCACAATCATTTATTGAAATACCTATGAAAATTTAAACTTTTCACTTTGAATTGTGATAATACAAGGGGGCTTCAAAAATATTCATGGAAAAATAAAGTTAAAAGATAATGGAATTTTTCCATGGTCTGTTAAAGTCTCTCATCTATATAATGGACCCTGATGTGGTGCTGTTGATAATCTCTGTACTGCTAACAGCAAGGTCAGAAGTTCATAACCACCAGCCAACTCCTTGGAAAAGTTATACAGACTGTGTTGCTATGAGCGTTAAAACCAACAAGGTCGCTATGAATCATCACTTAAAAGCATATATATATATATATATATATATATGTATATATATATATATATATAAAATGGTGGGCAATGAAAAAGGAAGACCAAAGGAAACTTGATGCACTGGACTGCAAGGTTGGTTTGAACCACAGGACCATCTGTTTAGACTCAACATCTGCTCCTCGGAAACCCTTTATAAGGTTGCTGAGTTGGAACGGACTCTGTGGCACTTAGTAACAACAACATCAGGAAAAGGTGGAGTACAGTGGCTCCATAGGATAAGAACTGGCTTGTGAACCACAAGGTTGGCAGTTCAAGTCCACCCTATACACAGTCACTGTGAGTCAGAACCGACTTGATGGCCCTTAACAACAGCAACAATCTGGAAAAGCAGCAAAATCTCTCTTGGAAAAACTACAGCCAGAATGTTCCTTATAAGCAAGGATGTCAGTGACTTCATCTGGCTCCCGTTGGACACATTATTTAGGAGGGATTAATCCCCGGAGAAAGACATCATCAGATGTGTTTTATAGGGCTTCCAAGGGGCAGCTAGTGGGTTTGAATCGCCGACCTTGAGGTTTAAACTGACCTGTGGTCCAGAGCTAATCCTACAGTGCCACACCAGGACTCCTCATCAAATACAGGGTCAGAGAAAGACCCTCAGTGAGATGGTTTGCTACAGTGGCTGCGACAATGGGCTCAAGCTTACTATTGTGAGGATGTCGCAGGATGAGGCAACAATTTAATTATGCATGGGGAAGCACTGTTGAGTAAGACCTAGCTTGATGGCATCTAATAACAACAGCATATTTAAAAAACAGAATACAAATGTAATTTGAAATTTTTTTAAATTTAATAATATAAAGATCTATTGGATATTGTGTACAGCAGTTCAGCGTACTTTGTCTAATACGTAAATTTTTAAGAACTAGTGAATTTGCCTCCCAGATAATAAAGTCTCTACTGCACAATGTTAACAAAGTAAAACTGGGACATTTTTCAGTAAGTTTTTGGTAGAGACAAATAGACACCTAAGAATGCAAAGATAGTTACATTTTTCTTTGAAGGACTGTATGTTATATATTTTTAATTATACATGAACAGAAAATTGTCCATTTTTAAGTAGTAGGTAAAGTTCTTAGGTATTCTATCACTGATTTGTTAGGTTGGGCTGGAGTCACAGAGTGTGAAAAACTTCGCAATTATAGAAGTACAAAGTACAGGATTTCTTCACTTTACAAGGGAGAAGGGTATTAACAGCAGAAAGTATTGCTGGCCCTGAGATTCGGGTGTTTCCTGGCATTTAGGTATTTTTTTTTTTTAGAAGAGAAGGCAAAGGGGCATTGCAGACAGGTGGGATGGAAGACAGCTTTACAAAATAAGTGATAGCACCCTCTAGGCTAGGATAACAGGATATTGGTAGGTAATTTAAGATACCGTTCATTGCTTGGCCTCCTGGAGGTCATCTATGGCCTCTGGGCGGAGTTTAGGTTGTCTCTCATCTGTGGATCCTACTGTTCTCCATTCCTGAAAAACAAATTTAGCAAAACAGGCTAGTTTTCCATTCCTGAAAAACAAATTTAGCAAAAACTGGCTTGTCAGTGGGGCCAGCAGCTCTACATTCCTGCACAAAGCTCAGTAAAACAAGCTGCGGTCTTAGAAGAGTTTAAACACTGCAGCTGAGTTCTTTCAACTTTGTCCTTGACATGTCATTAGTATTTTCATACATTCAACAGATATGCATTGAAGATCTGCTATATATATATATATGTCACTGTGACCTAGTAATGGTAGACTTCATTTGTCTCCACAGGAGTGATAAGAATCAAGATGAGCACAAAACTGATTCATATATGTAGAGATCAGATATACCTCCTCTAGCCACCTTTTCAAATTTTTTTTTCTGATACCAGCAACTTTTCAGTTCCCCATGGCACTCTGCTTCTCTATTGTTTGATAACTCATTGCAGTGACCACAGAGACCATACTCACAATTATATAGTGTGGTGTTATTGTTGTTGTTACAGTGTGTTAGGGAATGGAATAACAGGTTACAACTTGGGATCAGGGTTAACTTGGAAGTAACAGGCTACAACTCAGGAAATGGGATACCATCAGTCAGGATAGTTTCCAATCAAGATGGCGTTCAGCTTCTCAACTGTCCTTAGACTTTCTCTTGGCCTATGCCCTTCTTGGGCAAGCGTTAGAGCTCTTTGACTCTGACAGCAAATGCCTGGAGACATACTTAATTCCACTAGCTGTTTTCCTGTTCAAAGACTCTCAGCTTTCTTAGTCAAGCCCTCTTCAGCCCCCTTACACAGTTCTGGTTCCCACTATTCATGCTGCCACTTATACTGCTGTACTGTCTTCAGTGTTAGAGCTTTTCTGTGTGTAAGAGATTTTTAGCAGAGATCTCGGGTCCAGAGGGTGTGTTCAACTCTTGGCTCTTCTTAGTAGTAATGAGATCTTCTTCAACATGTGGTATTAGCCTTATGTTTGGTAACTCCTTGTCAATTTCAAGGTATACTCCTTCCACCAAGACCACAAAATGATTATTCCCTTTAGTAAGCCACAGTTCCTTAATTTGCGTAGTAATTTGCCAATTCCCCAGCAAGGTCACTTTATTTTATTGGGTAGTTTTATACACCCTGTTTGCATAGTAGACTGACCAATCACAGGTCAGGCTGCAGCCCAGTCCATTATTCTTGGCAGAATTATAAATTTAAAACCAGAGAGGCCATATATATGAGAAACCACTGCACTGTAGGCTCTTTTTCAGGCATTCTGAGCATATTAATAAAAGACTGAAAAGGATGCTCCTACCTACTCAACAACCACCACCAAAATTTTCTTCCTTTTGGGTTTTTTTTTTCCAGCAGTGGGAAAAAGGTATAAAATAATTCACATTGATTAAATTGTATCATTTGTTAAAAGATAATAAATACTATGGTCAAACAAAGAAGAATATTAAAAGTGAAGGGTACCAAGGATGAAAGATGGGTTTCAGTATAAAATACTACTGCCATCTAGTTCATTCCGACTTCCGTGACACTTAAGGATAGAGTATAACTGCTCCATAGAGTTTTCAAGACTAAATCTTTATAGGAGCGGGCAGCTTCATCTTTCTTCTGCAGAGTAGCTGGCGAGTTCAAACTGCCGACCTTGTAGTTGTCAGCCCAATTCTTAGCCAGGCCTTATTGAGAAAGTGAGATTTGAGTGGAGGCATAAAGGGTAGTGGGGGAATAATAGTTATGCAGTATATAGGGGAAGAACATTCCAAGCAAAGATATGCATTTCTCAGCTAGGAGTGCATATCTTCAAGGAAAACCCAGGACACCAGTGTGACTGGAACAGAGTGAGGAAGAAAGTAATGTCAGAGAGTTAATAGGAAATTGGGGAAGGCCTTATCTTTTAGTTATTTTGATACCTTTCAGTTTTTGTACGCTCTTAAAAACTATAGGATAAATTTTAGTTAATATGTTAATTAACTGTAGTTAGGAATTACTTGTCATGTGTGGTTTTGGTTTGAATATTTACAACATAAATAAGATTATAAGAATAAAATGTGAATTATCTGTAGAGAAGATCTCTTGTTGCTGTGTTTGAGGAAGAAAATGAACATGTAAACATCGTTAAAGAGCATTTGATGTGTAATATCCTAAGTTTCCATTTTGTCAGGCAGCATCAGGATGTTGACCAATGGCAGTTGAGAACTCTTTCAGTTGGTCCTTTGATAGTCGCAGGCCTCAATTACAAGCAGGCTCATCTTTAAGCGTTTTCATCTACTTTTTTGGTAATTAAGTAGATTCTAAATAAATGTGTGTGGCGTTGAAAATTTAGAAAATAAAAGTTGAAAGAAGAAAATTAAAATCAGCACATTCCCACTATAGAAATGATTAGCATTTTTACTTTATCCTGTGCATATAATGTTTATATATAGACAAGTATTTTAAACTAACTTGAGGCTTTGCCATATACATTTTGTATCTACATATTTTAAATCTTCACTTAAAATTATTTCATAAATGTTTTCCCATGCCATTGAACATCCCTAAGCAATATCTTTGTTGTTATGGTTAGGTGCTGTTGAGTGAGTTCACACTCATAGTGGACCCTATCAATGCACAACAGAATGAAACACTGCCCAGTCCTGCACCATCCCCATGATTGTTAATGTTTGAAACCCATTGCTGCTGCCACTGTGTCAGTCCATCTCATTGGGGGATCTTTCTCTTTTTTGCTTACCCTTCACTTAACCAAGCATGATATCTTTCTGCAGGGACTGGTTCTTTTTGAGAATATGTCCGAAGTATGAGAGACGAACTCTACATCGTGGATTCTTCTTG